CGATGATTATAATGATAACAAAATATTGATAATAAGGTTTATGCAGGTGATAAGAATAACAAAGATAGTATATGTATATAAGTGTCTAAATAAATTGGGTCATATCTTAGAAAGGTGAAGTGGAACGATAATCAGAGTTTAAATAAATATTATAAAAGTACAAAGGAGGTGGAAAATAAGAAAGGGTGGGAGGGTTTTTGAATACAGTTCACCTAGGCCAAGGGAGAGACAAAGGTTGAACAAACTTCTTTTGTATGCAAAGACTAGGATTGTTCTCTCGAATTCCCATAGCTTCGGCTAAGTGTAAAAGACGGTTTCTGATTCCATTCGAAAGACTCGATGGAATGCGATAGATAACTTTGAAAGCACTATTTATTGTCCACTTGGTGACCGCTATCAATCAAATGAGCCAAAATAGAACTTCGTATGGATTTTATTTGACCTTTTCCAAGCCATGAAGGAAGATGTTCATTAATGCGTTTGTTCAGCTGTCTAGTTGTTCGCCCTATATAGCTTTCTCCACAGGAGCAACTAAATTTATAGATACACATTGAGGTGGCACAACTAGGTAGCTTATCTTTCACTTGAGCAATCAAAATTGGTCGGCTGGAAAATGACAAACAAAGGGTGGCGGCAGGATAAGTCCGTTTTATCGCTCTCGATAATCTCAGATGTAAGACTTCACTAGCCACGTCCCCATTAAATTGAAGTTTCATGAACAGTTCTTTCTTTTTAACTGTTGTCAGTCTTTCTTTGTTGTACCTGGTATTCATATGTCTCCTAACAAATCTACTAGGATAACCCATTTGGACCAGCGTATTTTGAATGTATCCTAGCTCATTTTCTAGGGAGTCATCTGTCCAAATACGTCTTGCTCTATTCGTAAGGCATCTGACCAAATTGACTTCATATCGGATTGGTACAAAACTGAGGAAATGTGTATATTGTCTTACAGATGTAGGCTTTCTATAGACATCTCTCTTGAGTGAACCATCCTCTCTTCTGCTCAATTGGACGTCAAGAAAATGTAATCCACCATCGTGTTCTTCTTCACACGTGAGGATGAGCGATGGATGTGCATCATTAAACTTTTTTAACATTACATTCTTGTCAGTTTTCACATCAAGAATAATGAACGTATCATCAACATAACGAAAATTAGAATCAGTTTCCTCTATTACTTGTCTCAATGGACCATTTTCAATCTTGGCTAGAAAGAAATCTGCCAAAATTGGCCCCAATGGAGAACCCATGGCAATACCGTCGATTTGCCTGTAGTAAAGGTTGTTGAATAAGAAATGTACATTCATAGTACATCTTAAAAGCAGCTCTTTCAGACTAATAACTGGAATTCCGATGTCAATCTGCTTTTCTACTATCTGTTGGCATATGAAATCCACAGTCTCCATAAGTGGTACATTGGTAAACAGTGACTCTACATCTGAATAATTTGTCAACCTTGAATTGTGCAAAAACCACAACATTGACTAGGACAGCGTTTGTATTCTGAAATCTAATATGAACAAATGGAAAGATATAATTGAGTTTTAGATTTTCCCTTCGATTGATTGGACTGAAGTGCTTGGTCTCAGGTTGACATGTCGGCTTCTTGTGCAGATGCTTCGACAATGTCTGGGCATTTAATTAGTATTTAGTTAGTGGATGGTGACTAGCAGTGGAATCCAGGACAGCGCGCATTTCGTCCTGTTGGGGACTCGTCATCAGGATGCACCTGCATTTGGCGTTTGAAACTATAGGCACTGGGTTCGAGTCTTGGTGGGAACATCATCACTCACTGAGAAATGCAGGTACATCCAGCTGGAGTACGAGTCCCAAATAGGACGAAATGCGCATCCTGGATTCCACTGCTAATCACCATCCACCAATTAAATGGGAAGATAGTCTAATAACAGAACCCACATTCATCAAGACCACGCTGGTTATATATAACAACGGTGACGCAGCATAACTGTCAACAACTTTTAATATAATTCCGGAGACATAAAAATGAATGGACAAAAGAAAATGAACTATATGTATGTGAGTACAAATCATATATGTGTGAATTAAAAAACAAAACAATTCCAACAGTTGGTGTGATGATCACGAGCAGTAATTTTGCTCGAAATATTACCAATAACAAAAAACTCGTCATTGTGTGTAAACTATTGAAATATAAATATAATTTCATTATAATAAAGATTTTTTGTATTCCCCAATGAATGAAAAACAAAACGATATTCCTCTTTTTACTGCCGTTTAGCTATTTAATTCTAATAGCTTTATCAAAGTATTATTAAGCCGGAATTTACAAAATCTCAGCATATATATGTAACAAAGAGTTATGAGGTGAGAAAATAGACTTAGGTCAAGTTAAAAGGACATATTGAAAGTCAAAAGAACAATGAAGATCACTAAACCAAATAACAAAGGTAATAGTACATCTGTTATGGTATCAAAACAAAGTTTACTAACTTGATCATCGTTCCCCAGTATGGGGTCGCTTTTTGTTGTCAAGTTGGTCAATTGGTAAAGATAACAAAATCAAGTGTGGATTGTTGGATTTGATCGGTGTTTAAAATTATAAAGGCAGTGTGTGTTTACATAGTGAACTTGCTTATCACATTTGTGTTGATTTTGTCACCTCCCTCCCCCATGAAGTAACGGACGATGATCAAGTTAGTAAACTTTGTTTTGATACCATAACAGACATACGGGTGAATCCCAACAGTTTGAACAGACGTGAAGGTGTGATCTTAGCTGATGCATGGCAAATCCTGACTAATAAATAAATTGGATATGTATCAACAACTAGTCACACTTGATCAAATTCCCGATTGTCTAAGTCTTATTAGGGAGAGAATAACAAATTCATAAAATTATATTATATTTGTAAAAAACATCTCAATTATTTTGCAACTATCCGGTCAAATCTTGATCACAGCTCATATGAGAGAAGTCGTGACCAGTGAGGTCCAATTAGAAGTCACGTGTGGATGGATTTCCACCAACGACAATAGTTGGGGTCGCGCTAAAATCACGAATTGGTAGAAGTTAGAATTCATGAGCCATTGAATCGGGTCCCAGTGGCCGAATGGTATACGAGCTTGCCTTGTAACCGGAAGGTCCCGGGTTCGAATCCCAGTGGGTGCGTACTGCCGATGATTCCCAAACTAGGATGAAACAGCAGCTGTCCAGTACTCCCTGGTTTTCAATGGTTCTCTAACTGATATCAGTCCGTGATCAACTCGTAAAACATAACTAATCCTTACAAACCAAATTATAGAAGATTATTCTGATGCTCGCTAGTGACTTGCTACAGGTTGGAGTTTCCTGCAGTTCTAGTGAGAAGTCGTGACCAGTGAGGTCCAATTAGAAGTCACGTGTGGATGGATTTCCACCAACGACAATAGTTGGGGTCGCGCTAAAATCACGAATTGGTAGAAGTTAGAATTCATGAGCCATTGAATCGGGTCCCAGTGGCCGAATGGTATACGAGCTTGCCTTGTAACCGGAAGGTCCCGGGTTCGAATCCCAGTGGGTGCGTACTGCCGATGATTCCCAAACTAGGATGAAACAGCAGCTGTCCAGTACTCCCTGGTTTTCAATGGTTCTCTAACTGATATCAGTCCGTGATCAACTCGTAAAAGAATAACAAATGTTTTATGACGGTTCACCCACACCCCCACATATACACACACCATTGATACTGCTTATACACATATATTTTAACAAAAGTAGACTAATTTTGAAAGTCTGAGGTCAAATTTTGATCACAGTTCATATTAAAAAATTTTTGTTTTGTTTTGTTTATTATACCTATTGATAGCTGTTTCATGATTCACACGACAGGACAAACATTTTAAAAACAAGAGATGTACTTTTATACATAAACATACTATTTTATTTATTTATTTATTATACATGTTGATGCCTGTTGCATGACTCATGATTGGACAAAGTTTAAGAACATGAGTTGTTCCTTTTATATATAAACCTCTGTTATGTCAATTCGATTAATTTCCCTGAAGAAGTTCGGACCAGATTGCCGAACGAAACGTTGGAATTAATCATTTCAAAATCGCTGAGATTTTACAAATATAATTTTGGGAATCATCGGCAGTACGCACCCACTGGGATTCGAACCCGGGACCTTCCGGTTACAAGGCAAGCTCGTATACCATTCGGCCACTGGGACCCGATTCAATGGCTCATGAATTCTAACTTCTATCCCGTGTGGATGGATTTCCACCAACGACAATAGTTGGGGTCGCGCTAAAATCACGAATTGGTAGAAGTTAGAATTCATGGATAAGCCACTGAATCGGGTCCCAGCAGTGGCTGAATGGTATACGAGCTTGCCTTGTAACCGGAAGGTCCCGGGTTCGAATCCCAGTGGGTGCGTACTGCCGATGATTCCCAAACTAGGATGAAACGGCAGCTGTCCAGTACTCCATGCTGGTTTTCAATGGTTCTCTAATTGATATCAGTCCGTGATCAACTCGTAAAACATAACTAATCCTTACAAACCAAACTATAGAAAATATAATTTTATAAATGTCTACTTCTCACTCAGCGCTCAATTATTTTGCAACTATCCGGTCAAATCTTGATCACAGTTCATATGAGATGTACTTTTACCTTTGTTATTTGGTTTAGTGATTTTCACTGGTATTTTGACTTTCAATATGTCTTTTTAAATTGACCTAAGTCTATTTTCTCACCCCTTAACTCTTTGTTATATATACGCTGAGATTTCGTAAATTCCGGTTTAATAATACTACTTTGATAAAGCTATTAGCAGCATTAAATAGCGAAACGTCAGTGAAAACAATAATATCGTTTTGTTTTTCATTCATTGGGAAATACAAAAACGTTTATTATAATATCATATACCCCATGCCCAAATTTTTTCAAACTGTTAAAAGTGAACATGGTTTGGACATATATATATATTCAAAATCTTTGCATGTTTATTTTGAAACGTTTCTGATACTTACCGGTTTTCGCAGTCCAACTAAATCCAAATGTGTACAATTATCATATTGAATACATTCAAAAGCCGTAGAAGATTCGAATTCACTTTGATTTGTTTTAATGAATGGATTTAGCGGTGAATTTGAATTTAAAACGATTTCTTTATTCAAAAGCAATGATGGCGATGTCTTATTGACATATATTCCAGAAGTATCTTGTGTACTGCTTAGATTAACTAAACGTAATAATAATAATAACAATAATAATAGTAAATTATATAAAATGAAAGTCATTTTCAAGGATCTAGTTTTCATCAGTAAACGTATATATCTATTCAGTACAGTCTAGGAATTCCTTCGGTTTTCCTTATATCATTATGAGGAGGACATAACAGAAATATGTGAATTCTCCTGTCTTCTTTCACTTTTTTTCAATCTGTATGACTATCAGGCTTATTTGTAATTACTGTTGTTACAATTTATAATCTTTGTAGTATTTAAAATTTCAATTTTACCAACTGTGTTTCATGTGACATAAATGCTGATAATGAGGGTGATTTTAAGAGTAAAACATCCCATTTCTCTTGGATACACAACCTTGAATGCACAAAATCTACAAATAAATTGTCTATAGAGGAGACAGGTATTCGGAGGAAGGGAAGGGAAGAGAATTATAGAATGTGTAAGAGGCAATATGCACTGTCCAATTTATCTAATGTAGAGGTGTACAAATATAAGGTAGTTAAACATAGATTTCTGAACAGAATCACATAAACAGATAGAAGTATTGTGCATCAAGTGTATTTATCTGTCTTATACTATAGTGTGTGTGTGTGTATGTGTGCGTTTTTCGTCTGTATTCTGTAATAATAATTATCTAGGGTGCTGTTTAATGTCTGCATGTAACACTGTGCTAGTACAAATTATGAAGATAAAGAAATTCGATTGTGAAATAATGTGAATATGATGTCTGAAAAAAAGGAATTTTGATGTGTTTTTTTCAAATTTCTTTTTCAGGTTATTTTATTTATTTCATATGACAAGAAATGAAATAAATTATTACATAATGATAATTATCCTGTCGGGGAGACGATAGATGGAAAAGCATGGGAGATTTATCGAAGGTTGATAGCAGTATAAGATTAAATGTTGTTAGTACAATTATTTTCTATAGTTTGGTTTGTAAGGGTAAGTTTTGTTTTTACGAGTTGATCACGGATTGATATCAGTTAGAGAACCGTTGAAAACCAGGGAGTACTGGACAGCCAGCCGTTTCATCCTAGTTTGGGAATCATCAGCAGTACGCACCCATTGCCAGGGGTCGAACCCAGGACCTTCTGGTTACAAAGCAAGCTCGTGTACCATTCAGCCACCGCTGGCACCCGATTCAATGGCTTGTCCATGAATTCTAACTTCTACCAATTCGTGATTTAACGCAACCCCAACCAATGTCACGTGTAAGAATGGATGTCCCACCTACGATAATGGTTGGGGTCTCGCTAAATCACAAATTGGTAGAAGTTAGAAATTATGGGCCATTGAATCGGATTTCAGTGGTTGAATGGTGTATTATTATTACTTTTCTTTTGGGTTGGAAGTGGAATATCCGACTTCAACAACACATCTTCATTTCATCCTGTTCTTGGAAGTCCGTCTAAGCTGACACCATGATTCTCTGTAAGCTTTAATCTCCTCAACACACGATATCATTTGTGTCATTATTATATTATTGTTAATAATGTTCCGAGTGGTAAATAGTGCTTAAACAACACATCTGCATTTTCTTCTATTTTCTGTCGTCCTCTTCAGATTGGTCCACGATCGATCATAATCTCACATCTCATCATCATCACACACGTTCCCTTTCATGTCACTCTCGTAGTGACGATCCGCTCGTCACTTTCCGTCAGGATTCTACTCGAGCGATGGCCTTCATTGCACGCGATGTCTTGTGATGGTCTCCTCAATGTATGCCGGATCTATCTCCATTTTCTCCTACATATTTGTTGGGCAATCGGCTGTTGGTTTGCTCTCAGCCAGAGTTTCTTGTTACTAATTCTTTCTGGCTATTTGGTCTTCAGTCTGGAGCCAGATGAAAGTCTGCAATCTATTGGAAATCCTATTTGTGACACGCAGCGCAATTTTCTGACCCGTATAGAAGAGGTGCCTGACTTCACATTTGTGTTGAAAATTCGAATCTTGTTCCTTATGCTGAGTGAAGACGATTTCCAAACTGGATTCAGGTTGATGAAGGGGTATCTTACCTTTCCGATTCTGACTGGCTCTAACATCTTCATCTGTGCTGTCTAACTGCCTGTGGTTGAAACTATGCCTCCTATATGGCTGAAGGAAGTAATTTCTCTGATATCTCTCCCGTCGATGGTAATCGGTGCTGGTCGTTGTTACTGTTGGTGGTTGGTTGGTTATCTTCATTATCTCCGTCATCTCTGTCTTTATCTGGTTGGAGGTAATATGACCTAGGTTTCATGCTAGCTGGTACTCACCAGTCAGCAAGGCAGATCTGCAAAATTTTAAGGAACCCACATCCCTTCTGAGATTCGAACTTACGCCACCCAGTGCCGCCTACAGTCAGAAACGTTACCACTGAACTATTCGGGCTCATAATTGACCTCCTGTAGGACTGTATTGGATATTTTTTTGATTGAACACTAGTCAGTAACTAGTGTAATGTGTCCAGTTCCTTCGAGGTTGCAGATACGCCTTACTGACTGGTTAGTGCCAACTAGCACGAAACCTAGGTAGAGTCAAGGCTTCTTGCCGAATGCCCCCAACCATCTAATATCAACAATTTTAAAGTGTACCGTGATGGTGAGCCACCTGTTGGCATGGTTGCCACATTTAAAACTTGACTGACCGTTAGAATTTAGTCTGCAGAAATCAAATTATGCATGTAACAATAGGGGAGTTACGTAATAAAGGCCAGAGGTTAAAGAAAAAGATTACGTGATCAAATAACAGAGAGAAAGAGAGAATAAAGATATTCGGTTAACAGGAAGAGCAAGGAAAGGTTGACCACTGAACATGTACCAAAAAGCGTATGTATCAAATTAACAAAAGCTTTCAATAGTACTATTGGCAGGCGTCTCCTTGATATGGGTCATGAGGTGGACACCATGAAATCTTTTGAAATTATCAATAGACAACAGAACTCAGTTCTCCTCAATTTTGCTGAAGCAATCCCTATCAGACTCCTCAAATCCGATTTATGTGTTCAGAAAGAAGCAGTTATCAGTCTTTCCTTGCCAACCTGGTGAATGGATGTCTTTATTCTCTTTCTGTCACGTAATTACGTAATCTTTGGCTTTAACCTCTTCCCTTTATTACGTAACTCCTTTACCATTGTATGCATATATTGATTTTCTATTTAAACTTGAACTTTTTGGATGGCCAGCCCATGAATTCTAACTTCTACCAATTCGTGTTTTTTTTAGCGTGACCACCAATCGGTGTCACTGGCAAGAAATCCATCTTCACTCCCGACTGGAGGGTCCTCATTGGTCATGAATTCTCATGGTCCATTGAATCCAGTCCTAGCAGTGACTGAATCGTATACGGGCTCGATGGTCTTGTAACCGGAAGGTCCTGGGTTCGACTCCTGACAGTGGGTGTGTACTGCCGATGATTCCCAAACTAGGATGAAACAGCTTTCTAGTACCACGGTGCCGGTTTTCAATAGTTCTCTAACTCATATCAATACTTGGTCAAACTCAAAAAACAAATGTATGGTTTCATTTCCAACCAGCTGTACAGCAGTTGTATTCATATGAAGGAAAAAGCAAGGTATTAAGTGGGGAAACTAGAAATTGCTCAGTGGTCAATATTACACATATGACGACAAGAATAAAGATTATTAAAATGATGTACTAAGGGCCAGGGTAGAGTTGAAGCGGATGAATTACAAAACTTTTAAAGATTATCAGACATAAGTGAACTGGTATAAAGATTTTAAAATTGTAGGTCAAGTGTTGTCTAAATAAAAATTGACAGTACGATGTTGACAACAGTAAAGATGGCGAAGGTGAAGTGGAATGAATTCAAGTGGAAAAATAGAATAAAGCATTAAAGCATTACTGTGACCAAGATAAAGAGAGCAAAAATTTACAGGTCATTATAGTAACTATTCCCAACTCTCTCCTTGTATCTCATCAAGTAAAACAAGAAATCAGTATAAAATAATCTATGCTCGTACAACCAAGTACAGGAACTCAACGATACTATACTTGGCCCGTGCTCTAAGCGACAGAGACAATGTTAAGCGTGAAACTTATGACTTGCTTTGTTATTAACACCATAATTTTAGGCTCTTTTATTTCTCTCTTATTTTGTATTCTTTAGTTAACTCCTTCTTCAAACATACTTAGCCACTTAAATTATTAACATTGGCTTCCTTTCTTGGCTTCTTTTTTGTACTTTACTACATTCCTTCTATTGTGTATCCACTGGTTCCGACTATATTAGCACTATGGGTATTACAAAATTGTCCTGTCATTAACCATCATGTAATTAATAGTTTTTGTGGTTGTTTTTTTCTTATTTTCTATACTTTTCGGCAATATTAAACTGATAATCATTGGTTGTGAACGCCATAGTCACCACCTTAAAAAATTTTGTATTATTCAGGATTACTCACACTACCACCACAAACACTGCATTAGACTTGACAATAAAAAACAAAACAACAACCCTGAAATGTTATTTTATGATTGTTTAGTGTTGTTCAATCAAATTAATTGATCATCTTGTCGATAAACATTCTTAAATATCATTCCATAACTTCTTGTATGACTACAGCTTTACTGTCACTATGCATAATCATATCATAGCTTCCACTACCCAATACTGAGTTGTTATTATTATATGATGTTTATTTTCCTTTCTACTTGGTATTTTTTCGCATTTATAATCATTTTTGTGTTTATCCTGTTTTTTGCTGTTGTTGTCTTTATATTTATTATTTTTTTAAATACTCCTTTTTAACGTTGGATAAAATTAGATGCAAATATTGTAGATATGTGCTGAAAATTCCACACTGTACCAATAGTACTGTTTCTGGAATAAAGCTAGTTATTATTATTATTAAAAAACTTCAACAGTTTGGTATCTCTAGGTAGCAAAAGGAATTTTATCCGTTCTCTGTGCTCCAGAATTCGGAAAATTTTCTCTGTAGATACGGTGGACTTAGAATTAGAAAGGCTTTTCACAACTCTCTTAAATA